AAAGGACCCCGCACAAATCTTATGGAAATTGGGTCCCGGTCAAATTCGCTGAATTTTTGATATGTGATAGAGTTCATCATACTGGTCAATTGTCTCAATGGCCACAAAGCTCAAAAATGGATAGTTTGGCCGGTACAGAGCTTTAAAGCTCCGAATATCCTCCACGGATTTATGTATATGCGCAGTGTGTATAGACTTTTAAAATAGCCTATATTTTTTTTTTTATTATCTAGGTTTATATTTTTGAGGTTGCTGAATTCAGATCTCTTGTTAGATTTTCAAAATTGACAGTTGGCAGCTATCAAATAGCTGTCAATGTGCTATAAAACAAGTTTTTTGTTTTTTTATGTTTTATCTTTCTTTTTTTTTAGTTCGATAAGTTTAAAGACGATATCAAATCAATAACAATGACTATCGGGAGCTGTCATATAGCTGTCAACAATTCTTCAAAGTCCGGTAATAAAGTCAAAAAATTATTTTTTGTTTATAACTTCAAGTTTTTTAGATAAGTGAATATAAATATGATATAAAATTATGTAGTCATCAGCTTACAGCTGTCAACAAGCTGTCAACTAACTGTCAAAATGCAATAATAGAGCAAGTAACTTATTTTTTGTGCTTAACTTTGTGGATAAGAAATCAAACATGATATAAGTTTATGACATCACTTTTGAACTCAGTGATCTAAGCAACTTAAAGCTTTTTAAAAAAAGTAACTTTTTGACTTTATTATTGCATTTTGACAGTTAGTTGACAGCTTGTTGACAGCTGTAAGCTGATGACTACATAATTTTATATCATATTTATATTCACTTATCTAAAAAACTTGAAGTTATAAACAAAAAATAATTTTTTGACTTTATTACCGGACTTTGAAGAATTGTTGACAGCTAAATGACAGCTGCCGATAGTCATTGTTATTGATTTGATATCGTCTTTGAACTTATCGAACTAAAAAAAAAGNTAGACACCACCCGGTTACTCGTAATAATTTTGTTAACGTTGAATACTTATTCACGACAAATAAATCACTTTCTTGACCCACCAATACCATTGGTTTAATTCTCTTACGCTCAGGTAAATCTTTTATAACCTCTATATTTTTCAAATTAATCGTATTCGTCCTTAAAAATTGCGGACCATCCCACCATAACTTAGAATTCATTAAATCCGCGGGGTTAGTACCCCTTGATATTATGTCTGCGGGATTGCATTCAGAAGCGACATGACTCCAATTTTTTATATTACTTAAATTTTGAATTTCATTAACTCTATTCGCGACGAACGATTTCCAGTTATGTGGTTCTTCAGCCAACCAACATAATACAATTGTCGAATCGCACCAATAAAACGTCGGTATTATACCTGTATAGCCAAGTGATTCCGTAACCCTTTTCATTAGTCGCGCTAGTAGGACTGCACCACACAACTCCAGTCTAGGTAAAGAAATTGTCCTTAAAGGTGCTACCCGCGACTTAGCACAAAGTAATCTAACCGAAATTAAATTATTTTCATCGATACTCCGTATAAATACGCATGCTCCATTTGCCCTTTCTGATGCGTCACTAAACCCGTGCAGTTCTAAAATTTTAACCCCTTTTATAACTACATGACGTGGAATTTTCAAATTTCGCAATAATTCTAACTGCCCTTCAAATTCTCGCCAAGTTAACGCTATATTCGGTGGCACTTCCTCGTCCCAACCGGTTTTAAGTTGCCATAATCTCTGCATTAATATTTTAGTTCTTACTATAATCGGCCCTATTAATCCCAGAGGATCGAAAATTTTCGCAATTGCAGATAAAATTACCCGTTTGGTGATGATAATGTCATCATTACTCTTAATATCGATTACATATTCAAAATGATCATTGCTTGCGTTCCAGAAAATACCTAATGTTTTTGACACATCATTATCTTTTACAAAATGAAACCCTGGTTCTGATTTTTCACGTGATAAATTTTCTAAAACATATGAATTATTTGAATTCCACTTTCTTAGCATGAATCCGTATTCACTTAATACGTCATAAATTATTCTAGCTATTTCAGTTACCTCTTCAACCGTGTCACCTCCCGTGATTAGGTCGTCCATGTAAAAATCTGTCTCTATAATACGAGCCGCCTCTGGATATTTACCTTTGATATCAAGCGCAACCTGTTTTAAGCACCTCATTGCAAGAAATGAAGCTGGCCCGGTCCCGTAGGTAACTGTATTTAACTGGTAATGCTCTAATTCATTATTTTCATCTTCCCTCCATAAGATTCTTTGTAGATTTCTCTGGTTTTTTGCTATATTTATCATTCTATACATTTTGGCTACGTCGGAAGTAATAACTATATGATGTTTTCGGAATCTGCATAAAATTGTAAATATGTCATCTTGTATACTAGGCCCTACTTTTAACACATCATTCAGCGACAAATTTGTATCAGATTTGCAAGAGCCGTCAAATACGACACGAAGTTTTGTAGTCGTGCTGTATTTATTTATCACCCCATGATGAGGTAAGTAATATATTTTATTATTTTCAACCGATATTTTTTCTTGCTCTAAGTCATAGTCATTTATTTTAGTCATATGTCCCCTTTCTAAATACTCCCTCATAAATTTTACATACGCCGCTTTAAATTCATAATTTTTTGAAAACTTACGCTCCATCGCTATCATTCTTTGTTTAACCATCGTTAATGACTGACCTAATTGACCCAAATTATCCCGCGTAGGTAATACTACTACGAATTTGCCATCAGCATCTCGCGACATCGTATCAACGAAACTCTGCTCGCATTCTAATTCTCCCTTTGAGAATTTAACACTGTCTTGATTTGATTCAAGCTCCTCGATTTTCCAAAACTTTTCGATATCGTTTAGCTCTTGAAACACCGCTAAATTACATACGCTTTCTTTGATTTGGTTCTCACGATTAACCGCCGTCAATGGACCTACCACGAT